TATATCTAAGCTCTTATGAAATCCTTGCGATGAAAAATAATTTTCCCATAAGAAATAAGGGGAACTGGTTTACATATTTCAACCAAAAAAGCCCCTTACTAAACTTTCCTTCACTTCAAAGTGTATGCCTAGGCAAAGCATTATAACATATGCAGTACAGTTCTACCATACATGTACATTTCCCCATCTTTTACACTGCCAGTACAGGAAAACATAGGATGATCCTGCCAGAAATTCAGTGAGCTCCTAACTTCCTGTTGTGTGTTACCACACTGCCTCTGCTGTAGAGAACTTACTTTGTTGCCAGCCTTTCCTATTCTCTTCTGCTGGACTACAGAACTCCACTTATCCCTGTCTTTCCTAAATGCCTCTTCACATTCATACGTTGATTTCTTTACCTGGAAATGAATGCTGCCTGGCCACACACTGGTGTAAGGAAAGTGCTTTTGAGAGGTCTAGTTCTGGGGGTGTGCCTATGTCATTAGGAATTGACCTCCCAGCAACTTTACAAACTTTAGTGATGATGTCCCAGATATTTAGGAAAGCTGTGTATCACTACAGGGACAAGTTAAGATAACATATTGCTGGGACATGCTTTTGGACCATGCCTATACAAATCATTAAAGCTGTGAAATGCATGAGGTAGTAGTGACCGTTTCAATAGAACAGAGTTTAAAAAACTCAGTTTTTGTTTTTTTGGTTTTTTTTTTGTGTGCAATTTTGCTATCCAGTCACTAAAATATAATATGGGAACATTTTGATGCCGGGATACTTATATGTGTGCTCTGACCTGGTGCCTCCCATTTTAACCCCCACAGTGATCGCTTAAGGAAACTTTCCTGCCTGTTACCAGAGGACAGTTGTGCTGCTGCCAGGGTGTGGGTATGGTGTTCTCTGGGTTTTAGAGGCTGCAGTAGCTCTGGAGGGTTGGCAGAGCGGCATCTGCTGCAGGAGTTTCTTGCCCACCCAAGTATTGGAGGGTAAGGTGGGCAGCTCCGTTGCTGGTAGCCCCAGCTGTGCATGCTGGAGGGTTCCTGGAGGACGAGGTTGTAGCAGAGGAGGATGCAGGGCAGGCAAAGTGTACATAGGAAGAGGTATCTCCTTGCTCTTTGGGGGCTCATTCTGGGTGCCTGACTCCATACACAGGGGCCACATCATGGTGGAGCTGCCTGCAGGCACACGAGACTGATCTGTGCCTTGTCTGATGCATCAAAGAGCAGACCCCAGATATGTACCCTGCTTGGTTTTTCACAGAGGGGACCCCCAATATGTTTCTACCTGATATATCACACAGAGCTGGCCCCAGATTTGTGCCTTGCTTGTTATATTACATACAGCACAAAATGGTATTGGTGCATCCCTAGTGTGTGACTGTGGGGGATATTGGAGTGTAAGTGGAATATGTCGGAGCTATATAAATGTATTATAATAAGTGTGTGACTGTGGGGGGACATTAGAGTTTTTAAGGTGCAGAGACCAGTGGCAGACTGAGGCTGGGGGAAATCAGTGGGATTCTGTCTTGGTCGTGCCCCCCCCCCCCCCCCCAAATCTTGCACCAGGGCCCATTGTTCCTTAGGTCTGCCACTGATGTGTTTAGTTTAATTTGCAGAGGCTCCTCTCCTGTACTGAAATCATGTACTCTGATTTAAAGTGACACTAAACTCAGGAGGTAAACCTAAAAAATGCATTCAGGTACCTGAACAATTAACAAACATGTATCTTATTTGTATCACTCGGCTGTAGATCCTCAAATCATCTCTGAATTGGTGCTGACACTGTCCTTCCTTCTGGAGGGTGACTACTTTTCTTCCCCATGGTCGCTGTGTGTGTTGTACAGTAGTCACCGCTCCAAGCTTGCTCCTGTGATGGACTACAATCTTGTGTTTAGTTTACTAATTTGTATTGAGATTGTAGTCCATGACAGGAGCGAGTTTGGAGCGGTGGCTACATAACTTTTGTTACCAATGGTCCCTGTGTGTGTGGTAAAGTAGCCATCGCTCCAAACTCCCGTGACTGTGTTTTATTTTACTTTTTTTTTATTATTTGTGACTTTTTTTAAACTTCTTTATTTTTTTTATGCTTTTAATTGTTTTAAAACTTTTTTTTTTTACACTTAACATTATTGCTATCACATAGGGGGACTAAGAAATCCCGTATGTGATAGCCAATTCACAAAACAGGTCCTCTTTATGGAGACATCAGGGGTCTCTAAGACCACTAATGTCACCTAGGGACCCCCAGAGAAGCTGATGAAGCAGAGACCTGCTTCATCAGCTTCTCACCGGCATCCCCTGCATTCGAGGACCAGAGAGGAGATCAAAGGGAGGTTGTGTACTGATCTCCCATTTATCTCCACTGACAGCGTCACTGTGCCGGGGGGGGCGCGACGACATACATCCGCACACCTGCACCCCCTAAAAGCGATCGGGCGTCTGATCGCTTGAATGTAGCCATTGCTGACTGTTTACATGGCTGACAGTTTCCCCACTCGTGTGCGTTACTGTCGATCCACCCAGCTGCAGGATTGACAGCTGGCTCAGCCTATCTAGAGGCAGAGCCAGCTGTGCCCGCCCCCCTCCCCCGTTCTGCCAGTAAGCGCCGGAGGATCGGATTGGGGGGGAATCCCTACAGGGAGCCGTGAGTGACGGTCACGGCTCTCTGCAGGGACAGGATCGAGAAGTGAGCGAGCGACGGTATGTGTTCGCTCACTTCCCGATCTATTGAGCCGACGTGTGACGGCTTCATTGTCGCAGGTCGGCTAGAACTATGAGGCTGAGTGATTGTCACTCACCTTATAGTTCTCTAACATATTTACATATGTAGTTGCTGTATATTGTGGCATGTCAGTGATTTATAGCTTGAGAGGTCTGCCTTAAAGCTGAACTCCAGGTACAAAAACTAGCATTCAACTATGTTCCTGAAAAGCCACAAAGGATAGAAATGTGCACCAAACTCGGATATTACCTTCTAAAAGCAGTAGCAACATCATCTGTGTTTTGCACATAGTGTCCCTCTACAGGCTGCCTGCAGAAAGCAACAGTGGGGTGGATACAAGACCATTCACCTTGCACAAGGAGAGCGAGAGCAGCTCTGACTGCTTCTGTGCCGGAGTTTTCTGTAATAAAGACCAATGTGCAAGAGCGGTTTTGCTGGGTAACTCACAGATCTGGAAGAAATACACATTGGATACCAAGATGAATGTAAGAATACCCATATCCCTTGTATGTCTATAATATCTGTTTAGCCCACATTGCAGCTGTAAAGTAAGTGTGATCAGTCTGACTGAATCTTTTGTGAAATAAGACAACTTAGACTTTTTTTTGTTTTTTACAGAAACATATTTTATTCAACGCTCTGACAGGTATCACATCTAAACACCAGCACCAAGAACGTCTTTCCCCAAACTGAAGTTCCTTTTCATGCAGAGATACAGAACCAGCTGCCAACTGACATCCAATCACTTCCCCAACATCTTTGTTCTACTAAAGACTGAGAATCACATGGAAGAAAAATGTATTTATTCATACCAATAATCACATTTGAGATGCGTGTAGCACAACCATTGTACAACAGAAGACAGTGTGGGAAGTGTCACACTCCAAGACAGAACAAGCTAGGAAGCAGGCAACGGTTTGAGCCCAGGGAGGCTTACGGGTCAAAGTGAGGCTTAGGACTCTCTGGCCTTGATGGGCTAACTCCAATGGCCCTAATGGCAGTCAGGGAAAGAAAGAGAGGGGAGGAAAAAGATCAGTCACACATAGCTATGCTTTAAAAGGTACAATATTCAACAGGTAATGTCTCCAGAAAAAGGATGCCCTTTACAGCTCTCTATAAAGAGAACTAGTCACCACTGGGCTTATGCAAAAAGCGGGATATTAGATCTTAAACTATTATTATTGTGCAGGCTTACTCAATCAATATATAGCCTCCTCCCTTATGTGGGGTTCTTTACATTTCAGTCTTGAAAACAATCGTATCTAAAGTTCTCTCAAACAGAACTATTATACTTACCCCTCTGGTGTCCCATGTCTCCAAGCTTCCACCCTTTCCAGCATTGCAACCTCTGTCAAACTCCTTAGCACTCAACAATAAAGAGTGTCCAATGCCGGTGTCCTCTGCTGTGCACTGTGGCCCCTTCCTCTGACCCCCTACATCACTGTTGTGTCCTTGTAGGAGGATGGTACTGCAGTGTGCGCCCGTGGCAGTGAAGTCAACAAATCCTACAGAGGCTGCATTGCTGGAAGAGAGTGGAGATGGGAGACATGGGCCACCATAAAAGTGAGTATAATAGTTATTTTACTGCTGCGAACTTCAGAGCAGAGTTTATTTCATAGACCGGGGTCTTGTCAAAGTGACATTAAACTCAAAGAGTTAAATCTAAAAAATGCATTCAAGTACCTTTCAGTATTAACGCAAATGTATCTGTGTATCATTCAGCTGTAGAGCCTCAAATCATCTCTGAATTGGTGCTGACACTGTCCTTCCTTCTGGAGGGTGGGTCCTTTTGTTCCCCATGATCCCTGTGTGTTGTAAAGTAGCCACCACTCCAAGCTCACTCCTGTGATGGACTACAATCTCACATTTAGTTTACTTATTTGTGCTAAGATTGTAGTCCAAGCGAGCGAGCTTGGAGCGGTGGCTAATTAACAACACACAGGTATCATGGGGAACAAAAGTAGCCCCCCTCCAGAAGGAAGGACAGTTCCTTCCGGAGGGTGGCTACTTTTGTTCGGCACCAATTCAGAGATGATTTGAGGATCTACAGCTGAGTGATTCACAAATAAGATACATTTCTGTTAATAGTGTACTTGGATATGTTTTTAAGATTTATAAGCTGAGTATAGTGTCACTTTAAGTCTGACTCTTCAGATTAGGAGTTAGGGGTCAGAGGTCACCTGACAGTTGCTGCCTTGTCAAGTGCCTGACCTCATGACCTATTTTTTCTGGTATCACATGCACATCACAACCTCAAATAACTGATCTTTGTAGTTAAAAGGAATGTAAACAACTACAGGTCTCTGTTGTTTGATACTGTTATGCTCACTCAGAAACTGGAAGAAAGTATGACATGACAGCAACTGTTAGACTTTAGGTGACCTCAGATTCTCAAGCTGAAAAGTCAGATTCAAAGTGACTAAAGCTTAACAGGGGGCAAATATAAATCATTCATATGCAAGACTGTGTCGTTGTATTAATTTAAGGCTGAAAATTCAGATTCTTGCATAAGCCTGTCATGACTGGGTCTCTTTGAGATTGCCATGTGTGGACTTTTCCATCTTGGTTCCAATTGTCTGTCAGCATTGGAAGTCCGCTAAAGCCAAATACCAGAGACCTTTGCATATCCGTGACCATGTATGGGTTCCTTTATAAAAACAGAAGTCTATGTTGCCCGTAGCAATCAATCAAGTTAGTTAGCTTGATAAACTTCCCCGCATGTTGACTCCTCTCCTAGCACAGTACACTGCGAGTGAGTCATCTTCATTACCTGGAGGTGCAAAGAGTCATTTTGCACTGGGTGATGGGACAGATAATGTTTTGGATGACATTGTGGTATTATTGGGATTACAATTATTGGGTATTGTAAATTCACACTTTTTTTTTTTTTTTTGTTAATAACTAACCAAGTGTTAAAACACCCAGAACCTGAATGGTTACTATGGGCAATAGCTTGTTTTCATAAAGAAGCCCCATGGTAGTTTGTTTAACATGTATACTTATTTTAATATTTTACCAACAGTTCTAAAATACATTCAAGTTACTAGATGA